TATTGCAACACTTTAAAGTTTATGGCTGGGCGTTATGAACTATTATATTGTCGTCGAGATTTTGCCACGGGAATGTTGTTTAGGACAATTTCTTGACCCCAGTAGACAAGTATGTCACGCACACACACACACACACACAGAATTCCGTCTGTTTTACATTACAGCTGTGATTATTAACATGACGGAGTAGGCAGTACAACTGAGAATAATTAGAACAAAACTGTCGTGGGTGACCTAGTAGACGTTTGTAATACGACTAACTGCTTAGGTCACGGTAAAACAACACCGCAGTTCGGTTCTTCCCTGTACTTTCATCGGTTTATCGGAATATTCCATTAACGGGATTGACATAAAGTAGGTAAAAGAAAAACCACCGACAATGTAATTGTAAAACTATTACTCTAAACAAACATATTTGTGGCTTCGGTAAAATTTCTATTGAATGTTAGTGTGTGTACATTGTTCATAATCACTAAAAACGCGTGTTAATCCTTACAGCGAAACCCTCAGTAGAAAATTCAAACTTTTACATATTTATAAATCATTTATGCTATGTAAACTTAACACTTTACTTTTCAATGTTGTACAACATACCTTTTAAAACTGACTGTATATTTATAACGCTAAACAAAACAATAATAGTACATCGTTATGCAAAAATTAAAAACAATATAAAATGTCAAATATTCGTTGTCTTGGATTAGTTTTGAAGTGAAAATATATAACACTCTGATATATATATATATATATATATATGTATATAAACTAGAGTAATGAAATATTTCCTGTGAAATTTAAGCAGCGCTGAACAGAAATAATTTTTATCAGTTTTTTACTTTTAACAAAACAATATTATTATTTTTAAGGAAATTCCTGCTCGAACTTTAATAAAGAAAAAAAATTTTTTTCTTCGTAAAATATATTTACGTTGAAATTAACTAAAACAGTCGGCCGTGATGGTATACATTAAACTGAAATATAAAAATACACATTTTTCAGAGCTTATTTACATATATTCTTGACATATTTATGATAAACGATTGCAATTTATATTAAAAAACACTCGGGCACTTGATTCATATTTAATTATTTAATTATTTGCGTCATTAGTGGATTTACTATCGAATTGAATTTTGTCGAGTTATTGTACTGTTAATTTTATTAAAAATATATAATGCATTTTAAGACAAACAGCTACGCAAATGCGTCGTCATAAAATCCAGAAGAGTACGTTACTTCAATACGTACATCTCGAGTNCTCTTGACATATTTATGATAAACGATTGCAATTTATATTAAAAAACATTCGGGCACTTGATTCATATTTAATTATTTGCGTCATTAGTGGATTTACTATCGAATTGAATTTTGCCGAGTTATTGTACTGTTAATTTTATTAAAAATATATAATGCATTTTAAGACAAACAGCTACGCAAATGCGTCGTCATAAAATCCAGAAGAGTACGTTACTTCAATACGTACATCTCGAGTATGGCATCACTGGAAAGCAAGAAGAAACACAGAAGAAAGAACGGCAGGGGAAAGAAAACATTAATAATCAGTAGGGCCAAGCTGTAACAACTGAGGTGGGGGTGTCGAAACGGGGAGATGACTTGGCGAGGGTGTGCGCTGTTGGGCATAAAAAGGAAAACTCGTGATTATTAGGCGGAATAAAACTACCCTAAATAAAAGAAGTGACTATTGGTATACCACCGCGCTACACTCACAACTGACTAAATTACTTTCGAAAACTTTTTGTGTACCCTTTATTCTTTGTGCGCAAGGTAGTACCCCGTTAAAACGAAAATTCACTCAAATAACATTTGGGCGAATCTTCACAAAAATGTTTACTATGTACAAAGTAGATAACGTCAAATCAACAACAATAGGCTAGCTCATAATGAAGAATCGATCATATCGCGTTATCTCCCAGAGGATAACACGCCAATTTTACTTATAGTAAGAAAATACTCTATTGTGCATATTTAGAAAAAAAAATCTACATATCGAAAATAATAATAATATATACATATAGAGTGTACGTTTTTTCAAGTTCACTTCAAACAATATCCAAAAGGATCTAGTCTTGTTTTGGACGACATGTGAAGATAACATAATGTTTTCCAAATTTAAAACTATCATCGTGCACACGAAATATGAGACTTTTGCTGATTAGCCGTTTGTGATGTAAACAGCACTGGAGAACGATAATATTCGCACAAGACGTGCAATTATAATACTCCTTTTCGGCTAGATCAAACGCTACAGAGAAACACTTTGGATGTATATAATTCCACATTTGCGAAAATCGACAAAGGATCATTACAGTTTAGAAGGATTAACAGAATTCGTCCGGATTGCCTTTGACTGTATTTGCGAATTTCCACGAGACAAATAATAACAACAATAAAGATAAAACGGAGTGGGAGCGAAAGGCAGTATTACTGTGATTTATATGCTGATGTAGTGTACAGCATAGAACTAAAACAGTACAATTCATGACCACATAGCAGTTGACTGCTGTAATAGATATACTCGGCCAAGTGTAATAACATAAATCATTAAAATTACACGACCATATTAAGCGTATTGCGGTCCAGAGTTGTTGACAATATTGATTTGATCGTTCGTATTTTTTAAAAAGCTTTTATTTTCTAGTCGACCCTCGTGTTACCATAGCGAGGAAACCGATAAGTATTTTCAAACACGGAGATGAATGCGCCTGTAGCTTTCGGTTGGGTTCGAATAAATGCTCTCGGGTAGATAGCAACGTAATCCGTCACTCGGGTGAATTCATCTGAGCATCACTTTAAGTTGGCACCGAATGAATAAATTACCTACAATTCGGTTGACTACCTATTTTGGACTGCAGAGAACACATATACGTGTTGCACGGCGACTAACTAAAAAGTGTTATCGAAAATAGTTCACGGACACAATAACGAAATATGTCCGACGACCGTATTGATGCGCGCAACTGCCGAATTGGGTACTGAATTTCAAGTTCAAACGACCCACCCGAGACCGTCGGAACGAACAAACGGCATACGACTCGACATGAAAACCCTTCTCCCAAAGTTTCGTCCCCAAGTTCACTGCCGGCAGAAACGGTCCCGTCAACACATCTACAGCGTTCGACCACGATAAATGAATTCAAACGCGATGACGAATGTACCCCCGTGTGGGTTATTCGGTAGAACTGCAAACAACAATCAATCGGTAACTGAAGCCGATGGACACGGCACCGCCATCGAGGTTAATCCTCTCCGGTCAGACGCATACACGAACAACGCAATCGTTCCTAAAGCTGCTGCTGCTTCGTGTCGCTGTAATTCTATAGTTCACGCTATCGTCGACCATATGTTAACCGCGACAATGCAACGCAACCGCACCAAAACGCACTGGTCCGCGCCACCGACCGGTACGCGATAGAGCAAATCGATGCGGTCAATGGCTGTTGCAAATATCATTCGTACCCACACACGGATCTCTTCGATCGAGGGAGGAGGGTATGACGAGACGGCAATAAAATGAAACAACGCCATCGTATAAACCAGTAATAATGTAACAGTGCAAACACAAGAGGTCAATCATATTTCAAACAAATCACTTGGTACGCTTGAAACTACACAGGTATTGTTTTTAAAGCGATTTCCTCGAAATCGTTTCATTGCTGAAAATATTTCAAAATGATGAACACGGCTGACCGAATATAATTACTCTTCGCCTTCGTAAAAAAATACAATTACCATTAATTTATAAATAGATGGTGTTATTATAATTATTGGTTTTCGCAATGTCATCTAACGGCAACTCAAAAAAAAAAAAAAAACCGTGTTTCGACATGGAATAAAACGCAGTAGCAGTTAATTCGACGAATTTCAAACTATTTTAATAAAAGTGACCTCTAATGTGGTCAATGTACCATACGTGACCGTAGTAGTTTCCATAATTTAACGGAGAAATTCTACGTAGGTATTTACTTATTTTTAATAAATAACAACAAATGAAAAAATTGTACTCCTTCACTCCCAAAGAATTTTATTGTACGCGAAATTTGTTTGTTCTTCGTTATTGTTTTCGTAAAAAAAATTATCAAAACCAATTATTATTTTGATCTCGACATTTTATTGGCCACTTGCAAAATTTTTAAATTAACTCGGAATAATATTATTATACATTGCTGCATTTATTACCCGCGATAGTAATATGAAACTATTTCTTCTGCTTCGAGATTTCTTGGATAAAAATATGATTACGCTGTTTATTCCAAATAACTTGTCCAAGTACCCGAGTACGTACTTCCAGTTACGGTAAATCAAATACTAACCCACTTAAGGTATCGAATAACTTAACAACCGCGATCACTAAGAAGTATCATATATTATTAAGCCTTAAAAATTTAAACATAACTGCCCAGTGAATAGTCTTTCAAATATAGCGAGCATAAATTATTTATTTCAATAAATAAATAAAAAATAACCAAAAACAGTCATCGAGAAAAAATAAAACCACTTCCGTCATGCTTCAAAGTTTATCACGCTGAACAATTTTAAGGAACCACTCTGTGTGTGATTTATTTGTTTTTTGATTTTTACTTAAATATTTATCGGGAAAGCAAACATTTTTTTAGGTTAATGGGTATTGTGGACGACAATTAAGAACGTGCGCGTATTGACACACAGAATGTCGTGAAACGTTCTTAAAAAGTAACGCGTTTGTGTAGAAATAATGGGCGTCGGATATGGCGGGAAAAATGTCATGAGATCATAAGGACAATTGTCGTAACACGATTTATTCGAAAGAACAATGAAATCCGAAAATAATTAGTGCCATTGTACTCTATGAAATCTCGTCGGCGAGATTTGGGTATAATTTGGTGTGAGAGAAAAACAGTCAGAACCATTTGGTCAGACACTCGAATCGAATAATTTTGCAATGCATTTTTATGCGCCACAAAATATAATTTAGTTTTGTTAGTTGAAGCAGTGAAACAAACCTGTGCGGAGTGCCGATAGTGAGCCGCAATGGCTGAGCCGGTAACTGCCGGAGCGCATCCCTGCGCATTCTCCGGTGTTGCTCCTTCAGACTGTCCCGGTCGTATTCCGCCGGCATGTAGTGCTTTATGAAATGGTTGAGCGCCGGCAGTTTGCCTACAAAACAAAATAAACGTACATTACACATCCGTACACAAACAGAATACGGCAAAGTTATTGTTGTTGTACGATAGTAATGTTGTACGGGAGACGGCGTTCGCATGTGGCTTACCCTCTTCAACAACATTATCGTGCGGTTTGCGCATTTCGCCGGATAAAATAATGACCCAATGCATAATAATAAAACATACAACGGCCCGCATACAGATAAGAGAGACTTCGAGGGGAGAAAGGGGTAGATCGGAGAAGAGATAAAGAAATAATACCTCATAAATCTGACCGGTTGTATATAATTGAAACCGACTATACACACATCCGAAAACGGACACCTACGCGTATATTATTCCTCTATCTCAGTCCGCTTTCGCCCTAACGAGCGTGTATGCGCTTTGCCCGCGCGAATATTGCCGAGGAATGTCGCACGCCTCCCCGCCCCCCCGGTGGCGCCGCTGCATGCAGTAGGCACTCAAATCGATATTTTGATGGTCCCACCGCTCATCCCTTTGCCGCGTCACCGCCGCGCGAGCAAGTCCGTCCGAAACGTTAGTCCCGATATAATATATGTATAAACTATACACCTACAGTGGTCTTGTGTACGTTGTATTTGCCCATCGCTGGGAATATCATTGGTATGCTTTTGCATAAATTTACCTTTTATGAACACCGCCGCCGCCGCCGCCGCCGCCGACCGACAAAACTACAATTTCAAAGTGAACGTTACGCGTAAACCAATAAATGCCCTTGGACCGTCCGTTCTGCGAATATTCAATACCATACAGACGCGTTCAAACCACTTGGCATAAGGAACATGTTATTCTCGGTTTTAGACTTTAAAGGTGAGAAAAAATATTAAACTTCCAATTCGGGCAGCCGTTGTTGTTCAAGAGTTTGATTAAATATTAGCTTATTTTTCCAACGGCGCAACAAAATATAAAATCTCAAACGGAAAACTTTTAACCATTTTCCGCGCAACAGATTTATTAGTTATTTATTTTTAAGGCTCGGCAGCAAACTTTTTCTGTAGTCGCTTAAATAACGTACTATCGGACAGCATCCATCGTTTTTGACTGTCACCACAACACTTAAAATTAGTGCGGTAAACTCGACTTGGACTTAAATCGACATCATTTTTGAAAAATCGAAAAAAAAAATCCGCATATGACACCAGACAATTTCAGCTATCGAGTTGCTAAAATTTATAACGCGTAAATTAATTTATATTTACATTGTCCCTAAAAATTACAACTGTTTTATTCATTATTTTAATCGACATAACGGACTCGAAGTTCCTAATAAATCTTTATGTAAAAGCTAAATAGTCACTGAAAATATTAAGTTTTACTTAGTTAAAGATGAGACTCTTTTTTAATCAGAATAATTATTTTCATTGGCAATCTTTTTAGAGTGAAAAAATAACCCAGCTCCTCATTTAACCATTTTAATGGACAGATTAGCGCTACCGTGTACCATTAAATAAAAAAACACGGTGAAAAATCTGTACCAAAATGTGCACTTATAAATGGAAAATATCGATACAGAATCTCAAAGTAATTTACGGTTGTCTGAGTGCTTGGAGAATGCAAAATCAACTCGAGATCATAACGCCTACATAATTATAAGCTTTAAGACCCCTTTGAATATTACTATTTTACAATTTAATTAAACTAACGAAACACGGCCGTGACAAAAATAAATTAATTGAAATTTTAATCGTGTTCTTACTTGGTTAGTGGAACTACTTATAATATTTAAGTATAATTACTCTCGAGCTAAACGTTCTTAAAGACAAAATCATTTAAACGGCCTCATAATGTCCATTTTTTTAAACATGAATTCCTTCACTACTACCAAGTTATCACGTTTCTAAAACCAAATTCTAATGTTAAGTTTAAGTAGAACTATACCAGCATCTATTAATATTTTTCTTAAAGAATAATAATAAAATATAAAGATCTTGCGAGTGATATTTTTGGTAGTGAGATGCGTTTTTGTAGAAATATTGAGAATATAATTGCGCTGTCTAACAAAAAATCAGTAATATAAAATAGCTATATAAGCAGGTGTGATCTTGTCAAAATAAATTGTTTCACATTTTGTTCGAGTAGTTACACTATAGAATAAAAATAACAAATTTTTTTATTGATCTATACATAGTCTATTTAAATATCATCTTAATAATAAAAATAAAAGAAATACATAATGCTTTTTAGAAACTTTTTTTTTTTTAACCACTAGAGGTTTTCATCATTTTAAATATTCAGAAAGATCAAAATGAAATTCAAAAATTCAAATCCAATATTTACGAATACCAATAAACAAATATTATAATTGCTTTATGCAAAAAACTCTATTTGCTTAGGACAAAGGTTATATTTATTCAGGTTTGATCCTTCGATCCAACTCTATTGATTTTGTGATAAAATTATTCAAGTTAATTTTATCAACACATAAATTATTAAAGCGGTTGAATGGTTAAACAAGTATCATTTATAATATTACAGAATGGTTTTAAACTTGACCTAATTATCCAATACACGATAGTTTAAAGTTGATTCATTTTTTATGACTAGTAATAGGCAACTATATAGTTTTACCCATCGGTATTTGTAGGTTTTTGGCTATATGATGTTGTATAAAAAACTATATCATTATGAAACACGAAATTTTCATATTCAAGACAGAAAAATGCTCGGAATTTTTTTTTTTTTTAGTGTTATCTACCAATATATTTCGTATTCGACGTTGACAGAATGCACTAATAAATATTTAATATAAAACAGTTATATACCACTTTTTATTAATTTTAAGCCATTTGATTAATCTTAGGTATGAGCTCATGCACATAGTTGAAATATTTGTACGAGAGAACAGTATAATATCTCGCCATAGTGACAAAAATTTGAAAATCAGCAAAATAATTAATTTGATCCTAATAATATTAATATTATGATATATTAGACTATTAAATTTCCATATTAGTTTCGAATTTTTTGCCCATATCGTCATGTTGTCGAAATATCGATATTTTTACCCAACACTAATTGTAGCGATCACTTTTAGTTTAAAAACAACCAAGTCGAAAATAATGTGCAACTTAAGATAGACTTAATTTTTAAACGCTTATTCGCATCTGTTTTCGAGAATACAAAGTCAGAGATTGAAATTATTTATTTGCACTCGCGCACAGAACTTTTTCGGTCAAGTTTTTTTATTCGTTGAACTTTATGGATTTTGAAATTGAGCAAACTTATAAAAATAGTGTTTTATAGAAGAAATAATATATAACACATCACAGCGAGGAAACGTAGCGGCATAAAGTCTTTTATTACTTTTATGTTCAATTTGATTTGCGTAGTTATTATAATTTAGTTTAACTGTAAGGTGTGCAAATTTAAGTTGATTTAATTATCTGCCAACTATCCTTTCGCGGTTTGCATGCAATAGAATAACACAATGAAAATACTAATTGTTGGACAAATTCCTAGAAAACTGTTTTTAGCAACTGCATTGCTTTCAATATCATATCGGTTCTGCTGCTCATTTTACACCTTGCTGATAACATTTCATAATAAAATTTTATGGAATTTTAAGCCTAAAGGCTTCTGGCATGTCTGGTATTAGAATGAACCACCTTGTAAGTATGAGACGAGATCGTGTTTGTTCGTCCAGAGTATTAACATAATCAAATGATTATGCAAACAAGATTGATGTGCTTGCGAGCAAGATGTTTAAAGACTATTTTCGTATCTGAAGAGTAATATTTCATGAGTTGTATAATAACTTTAGACGACAGTAATGTAATTTAAAATTGTACCACATGGTGAGATTTATATCAACGTTAATTGTATCACAATTATACTTGGGTTTGTAAAATTAAACGTGTACGTTCAATTTTTAGTTTTATCGCAAGAATTCACTTCGAAAATCTGTCATGTACACCAAACAATATTGATTTGAAAATAAGGCATCCACAGTTGGAGAAGTTTTCAAAAAAATTAAGGTAAGTGAAAAATTAATAAGTAAAATAATCATTTTTTCTATTGATTTAAAGATCAAATAAAACTTTATAAAAGTACTATTGATAGCAGTAGTACTGATTCCCTAAACCGTCTGCAATGTAAAGATAGCATTTCTCAGTTATTAAATTCAATTACCTCAGAATCAAAGTTTTGTCATTTCATTTAGTTTTAAGTATCCTATGTTAGACACTTATGTTTACCGTGGACTTGGACAAGAATACAACAGAATTTTTATTAAATATTTAGTTTGAATGGTTTAATTTAGTTTTTCAACTATCGTTGTAAAAGAAAGATGCCGAGTTGTTTTATTTGTCAAAACATTTTGCCCTAACAAATCGAAACACTTTGTATAATTAAAGAACTATTTTTACATTTTTAGTTATAAGTTATAACTAAATTAAGTAATTTCATTGAATTTGTTTATCTACCGAAAAAAAAAAACGTTAAATTTGAATAAACTGCTCGATAAATGTTTTTCGTTTAAACACAACAGAAAGTTTAATATGATTTTTTTNCTAAATTAAGTAATTTCATTGAATTTGTTTATCTACCGAAAAAAAAAACGTTAAATTTGAATAAACTGCTCGATAAATGTTTTTCGTTTAAACACAACAGAAAGTTTAATATGATTTTTTTAATCTCTCCAATATATATATTTCTACATAATTAAAAGTTAAAGATTAAAAATACTTCAAGCTTAGTAAAACTTTAAAAAATGAATGAAATTAATTTGCAGAGCTTGTTATTGTAAACTGTTTAAATCTTATTTTTGAACATAACTCAACGAATATTTTTATAATTTTCTTTGGGTATCAGTGTATGTATAATTAATAATAAATAAAAGCGTACAACCATTTTGAATATTAAAATATAAATCAATAAACTTTATGTATAATTAAGGTTAAAGAAGTAGATCAAAACAACATTTGATGATAAACACGACAATTGCATTATTGGCTTACGGCATTCTAAATGAGA